ACAGGCTAGGAGGTGCATGCTCAGATGGGGGGTGCTGGCCCAGGAGCCCAAGGGCTGCTGTGTGCCCATCACTGCCCCTCCGTGCAGGTACAGGAAGGCTGCGCTGAAATGGCACCCGGATAAAAACCCAGACAACAAGGAGTATGCTGAGCAGAGGTTCAAGGAGATCGCCGAGGCGTACGAAGTGCTTTCGGACAGTAAGAGGCCACAGTGGTGTCTTTTGTGTGTGTGCGTGTCTGCCCTTGGAACTGTTCACACAGAAGCAGGATGTCCTGCTTCTGGGCTCACCCAGGTTGCATCCCTGGCTGTCCCCTGGAGGCAGTGAGTCTCTACAGCTTTACCACACGTCTTTTGGGTCTTGGTTACTTACATCTCCCAAAAGAGCCCTTGAGAGAGATGCTGAGCTGTTGACATCCACAATGGGCTCTCCCCAACGGGCCTGAAGCTTTTGCATTCTTGCCCAGTGGTCTTACTTTGGTTTGGGTGCAGTGCTGGGGTGGCAGGGGCTTGTGCCAGCCACCTCCTCTTGCTCCCTGCTATTCTGCACCTCCTTTAGTTGGGAGAAGTGTCAGTGCTCCTGTCTCCACCTGGCAGACAACTTCCCCACAGCTCCCTTTCTTCTTCCAGAGCAGAAGCGTGATGTCTACGACCGCTATGGCAAGGATGGACTCATGGGAGCAGGTGAGTGGGGCTGTGGGGGTTAGGGCAGCTCTGGGTACATCCCTGTCTGGAGACCTTATGTGGGTCAGTGCCACCAGGGCTCCCTACCCTTCAGGGGAGATGTCACCCAGGGCTCCATTTAACACTGTGTTCCCTCCAGCAGGACCAGGCGGATCCAGGGCCAGTGCTGGGGCCCCTGAATTCACCTTCACCTTCCGCAGCGCTCACGATGTCTTCCGGGAGTTCTTTGGCGGACGAGACCCCTTTGCTGAGTTCTTTGGTGTGTGGGGGGCACGGGAGGCTGGCTCTTGGGCATCTCTCCATCTGTGGGGCAGCTGCTGAGCTTGGGGATAGAGCTCACGGCTGGCCCTGGCAGAGGGTCCTCGCATCAGTGCCCTGCTTCTGGTTCACCAAGCTGATGGGGTAATGCTGATGGGGGGCCCCTGCCTTTCAGATGACATGCTGCCCTTCTCTGAGCTGCGAGGAGCTGGCCCCCGGCACCATGGGGGAGGCCACTTCTTTTCCCCCTTCCCAGGATCCTCAGGTAGGAGATGCTGCTATTCCTCCCCACAGGGGAGTCCTAGAGCACCATGTTCCCCTGTACAGTCTGTCCCGTGCCCTCCTGCCACCCACCCAGCCACCAACCTCGTTGTTCCCTTCTCTAGATTTCTTCGCCTCATCCTTCAGCTCTGGTGCGGACGCAGGACTGGGCTTCCGCTCTGTTTCCACCTCCACCACCTTTGTCAACGGCAGGCGTATCACCACCAAGAGGTGAGGGCAGTGCCAGTCCACCTTGCTCCCACAGACTTTCCTCCATCAGCAGGCCTCTGACCCTGCAACTTCTACTGTGGTGCAGTGGCTGCATGGCCCTTGACCGTCCATCTGTTTGTCTGTCTGCAGGATCATTGAGAACGGGCGGGAGCGGGTGGAAGTGGAGGAGGATGGGGAGCTGAAGTCGATCCACATTGATGGTGAGAAGGGGCTCTGCAAACGGAGTTGTTGAGATCTGCACCCTTTCCCTTTGGGGTGTCTGGGAGATGCTGCATCCAGGCTTTGGTTTGGACTGAGCCTTGGTTGGCCCTGGTTTGGATCTCTGCTCTGAAGGATTGGTGGGGTGGGTTGGAGGTGCCAGTGCCCCCCGCCAGCTTTGGGGAACTGGAGTGGATGAGTCCCCCAGTCCCTGCGTGTGTCCCCACAGGTGTTCCTGATGACATGGCACTGGGGCTGGAGCTGAGCCGGCGGGAGCAGCAAGCCTTCCCCAGGCCACGGGCCCCCTCCCCGCCAGCACCAGCCCCACACCAGACCTCAAGCTCCTCACCTGTCTGCCTCTACACGGATAGCGAGGATGAGGATGAGGACTTGCAGCTGGCCATGGCCTACAGCCTCTCTGAGATGGAAGCTGCGGGGCACCACCAAGCAGGTGGGCACAGCCCCGGCTCCCTGTCGGCACCGGGGGGCAGCCACAGCAGCCCGTCCTCCACCCGCAGAGCCCGTGGTGCCCGGGGGAGGCTGGAGCAGGAGCGACTGGGGGCCAGCAGTTCTGCTGCAGGGGGGCACGAACCTGCCCCCAAAGCGAAGCTGTGGCACTGCCCCCTGCTCTGAGTGCGGGGCAGGGAGAGGAAAGCAGGGCTGGAGTCTTGCTGCTTGGAACTCAGCTCCTGCCTCCCGTAGCAAGGGAGGGGGGTCTCTTCTGCCCTGCCTCCTTGCTCGGGTGAGTGGATGGCTAGTGGCATCCCAGCGTTGGAGGCTCCCAGACTTGGAGGTAGTGGCTTGAAGAGGAGCCCCCTTGATGGGGTCCCAGGAAGAGGGGCAGCTCCCTGCCCTGGCTGCTGGAAGCATGGGGGGCCCATGGACAGGCATGCTCTGGCTGTGCCTGCCCCTCTCTCCCTGCCAGCCCTCCAGGCAGGCAGGGTCTCCAGCAGGTGCCTCCCTGGCTGCAGCCTGCCCCTGCCCAGGCTGCAGGGAGTGCTGACTTGAGCTCCCCTCCTTGCAAGGAGGGCTGTGCACATAGCCTCTGCTCGGTGCCTTGGGTCTTGTCTCTTTGCTCTGGATGCTCTTGTTCCTGCCTGTACTCCATCCTCCTCTGTCTCCTTGCAGACTCTGCCTGGTCACTCCCTTCCGTATGTCTTGCACACCCTCCAGGGCACTGTCCCTCCTTGCTTCCCACAGCAAGCAGTGACCCTCCCGTGATGTTCACAAGTGTTTCTACCCTCTTCATTGCCCATAGTTCTGCCTTGGCTATCTTCCTCCTCTGCCTGGGACCTTCCTCCCTCCATGCCTGCCTCTGCCCAGCCCTTGGCCGAGGAGGATTTCACAGGTGCTGTTGTGTACCCCCCTCCGCTTGTCTCCCCAGGTGTGTTCTGAGGCTGCTGCGCCCGGGGACCGCGCACGCCCACTCGCCCACGGAGGTTCTCCCAGCCAGGATTCCACTTTCTCCCTGCACGGCCACCCCCTGCCACCCCCTTCCCCAGCACCCTCTGGCTCCGGGATGCGGTGAGGGGGGGCATGACAGGGCTTGTGGCCGAGCAATACATGGGGCTGGGGGAGAGGCCCTGGGCACCGCAGGGTGGTGGAGATGGTGGTGATGGGGGTTGCTGTAGATTAGGCTGCTGGCTGTACGCAGCGAGGGGCAGCATGGCTGGGCTCAGCCAGCAGGGCTGGGTTCAGCCCCCCTCCTCGCTGCAGTCCCCCCTCTCTGCCCCCCTTCTGCTAACAGCTGTCAATAAACCTGTTTGCAGTAGCTCCTGCCTGTGGGGACTTTCTGGGCTGGGGATGCAGGGTTCTCAGCTTTGCCTGCAGGTGAGCTGTACTTGTCTGGCAGTTACAGAGTGCAGGGATGGAGTTGGATGAACGTCACATTTCCTCCCTCTGCCATCCCAATACACACAGTCAGAGGGCAGGCCTGGCTGCAGCTGCACGAACGTGACACAAGAACTTTATTCACATCAAGATACAAAATTATAGTTCTCTAGAAATTTTTCTTCTGCTCGAGTGACTAGGCAGGGAGCACACAAAGGGGACCTGGAGTGGGGCTGGGCCAGGCCCCCTGCACCCCATGCTGCCTCCAACTGTGGAGGAGCCTTGCCCCCACTTCTACCCCTCACATGGGTACAGGAAGAGGGCTAACACGGAACTGACAGGCTGGGGAGTCCCCCTGCCAGTTCCCACCAACCCCACCTGGTGTCCCCCTCCAGAGGGCTTAAGGGCCACAAGCCCTGTCCCCTCTGAGGTGACAGTGGGTGTGATGGGGTTCCTTCACACAGAGGGCCTGAGTCAGTGTCCTTGGGGAGATGGGAAGGGGCGCCTGGGGGCGGGGGGAGCAGAGCCAGAAGCACAGACACCATTTTACAGGGAGAGCAGCCCCGGAGGCTGGTGAGGAGAGTGCGAAGCGCAGGGCAGGGAGCAGACAAGAGGGGAGGGAGGGCTCTTTGCCATCACTGTGGCAGTGCCTTCAGGATGGCGTTCACTTCCTCGGCCACAGCCGTCAGTGCAAACTCAAACTGGTCCTGCAGGAGCACAGCAGGAGACGTGAGGATCCCTGCCACCTCAGCCCCAGGGGTTACGTAGGTGGAGAGAGAGGATCCCCATTTTGGGGCATACCTTGGTCTGCACCATACCAGGCCGCTGATCTCGGATATGCTCCAGCGTAGCAGCTATGTCTATCTCCTTCACCCCTGGGGCAGAGGGAGAGAGGGGTGCTAGGAGGGGAGTTCATAGGCCAAGCTCATGGACAGGGCAGAAATGGTGCTTCCCTGCGCCTACCTTTGGCCATTCGGTTCAGGACCATGTCGACAAGGATGTAGGTCCCAGTCCTGCCTGCACCATCACTGCAAAACACAGATGCTTGGTCCAGGGAAGCTGGTCCCAGTGGGAATGGTCCTGGGCAGCAGGTCCCAGCCTTCAGTCACCCTCAAGCCCAAATACCCCTACATCCCCTGCAGTACCTGCAGTGCACAATAATAGGGCAGGAGCGACCCCGGTAGCACTTGTTCACCTTCCTGCAAGGATAAGAGGGAACAGATCAGTGCTCTGCTGCGCCAGGGTCAAGGCTGTGCTAGGTGTCCCTTGCTGTGCTCAGTAGGGCAGGGTGGCAGCACACCACGATGTGGCCCTGGGGGTCCCGCCCATGGCTCCTCCTCCCTCCATAATGGTGCTGGACATGGGATGGGGACCAGGAGTGGAAAGTGGCTGGGGCAGGGAAAGGAGCTCAGTTCCTCAGGTGCCCAGCCTGGGGAGGGGAGCAGTGGCAGGACCCCCAGGGAGCAGCTCTGGTCCGGTGGGGCGTGAAGCTGGGGGCCAGGCGCCGGTGGGGCTCCTGGCATGCTCCATGCAGCAGGCACGGCTGCCAACGATCACTTTTGTGACTATGCAACTGGAGCCAGATTACTAGCTGCAAATCACAAAAATGACGCCGGCAGCTGCGAGAGAGAGAGACAGAGACAGACAGAGAGAGAGAGCGTGAGCGGGACTGAGAGGAGGGCAACATGCTCAGAGACCCCCCCCCGCTGCCTTAGGCTGGGTCCCTTGCCCCACACAACCTGGGGACAGTGAGCAGCCTGTGCCTGGCAAGAGCCCACCACCACCAGGGATCTAAGGACTTGGGCAGGCAAGTCTCCTGGGAGCAGTCCCAGTCCTGCAGCCCTTGCCCTGGGCTAGCTGGGGATCCACCACTGGCTACAGGGCATTGGGAGCAGTGGGTCACAGCCCATTTAAAACTGGCTCTGGGGATTTCTTCTTGCACACATGGCTGAGGAAGGTGCCAGTCAATGCTCAGGGGAAGAGCACTTTTCCCACCCTCATTGTGAAGGCTGGAGAGCCCTGGCAATGTCAACCAGAGGTTTCTTGCCCACCAAACTCTGTTGAGCCTCATCCCAAGCTGGCCAAAACCTGTCTTTTCTGCTCCCTCCCATCCATGGCAGCTCCTAGTCCCTGCACTTGGTCCGTGCCATGGCCCCGACCCTCATCATCGTGGCAGCGCTGTCCTCACCTCGCCCGTCAGTGGCCTGCATTTGGGATCGCCGCTGGCTCCCCAAGGGCCGGCACGGTGCCAGGTGGGCGCTCACCTGCGGAAGTCGAGGAGGGGCCGGGTGGTGGTGGGGATGCCCTCGGCCGGCCAGCTGAGGAAGTGGAACTGCGTCAGGGTGCGGGTCTCCTGCGACTGCACGTTTTTCAGGTAGAAGCTGCGCACCAGGAAATCCTCGCACCAGATGTGCTCTGACACCAGGTTCACCTGCCCGAGTCAGGCAGAGGGTGGGCATCAGAGCCAGGCAAGTGCTGCACTGATGCTCAGGAGGACAAGGGCTGGAGGATCCTTCATGCCCCAGGCTACCTGCCACACTTGCCTCATAAATGTGGTAAAGAGAGGAGCCTTCATCTGGCCAGTAGCGATCACACTGCTTGACACTGTCCTCAGCGAGGGGGCTCAGCATGACAATGACAGTGCAGCCATGTTCCCACACCATCTGTGGGCAAGGCAAGGGGGGCTTCACTGCTGGGGAACAGCCCACGTGGGAGGGCAGTAAAGCCCCTGTGACCCATTTTGTGGGCAGCACACAAAGGGACCCCAATGTACTGGCACAGCTGCGTGACACTCACCTGCCAGAAGTCAGCAATAGTGTGGGACAGGGGCCCCTGTGTGGCAATGTACGCTGGCATCCGTGGGTCATGCTCAATCTGGAGGAGGAAAGGGGGTATCACACTTCACGCTCTTCAGCCAGAGGTTGGTGACACTTGAAGGAGTAGGGGGATACTCCAGGGGTGATAGGAGGGTTGGGAAGGGAGATTCAGGTGCCCCAGCCAGGATGAAAATGGCATTTAACAATTGTTTGAGCAATGGGGCAGGCACAAAGCTCACATCTGTAGCCCTGAGGGATGTAATTTCAGTCCAGCTCTACCCCAGAGTAAAAACCTCACCGAGGATGGGCACATAGAGGAGCAGGGTGGCAGGACAGGAACCCTCAGTGATCACTCACGATTGGACTGGCATTGATGAAGTCACTGCGGGATGGGTTGCTCTCTGCTTTCAGCTTGATCCGCATGTGATCATCTGTGGGAACAGGCCAGGAGACTTGGTGAGTAGCTAGAGGCACGCTGATGTGCAACCAGCCATGGCCCAGAGCGTCCCCATGCCCCACGCCCTGCTCTAGCAGGACAGCTGGTCCCTGGGGCTGATCCCTGGGGCAGGGTGGCTGGGATGCTCACAGGGCACGTAGTCAGGGTTGCGGTTCTTCTTCAGGTTGGCTTCACTCTGGGCAATGGAGCAGATGCTGGGCTCAGCTTGGTAGGCACAGAGCGCCTGCCACTCCTTGGCCAGCCGGTCCCGGTTGCGAAGGTGGTCCTCCATATAGGCCTGGGGCAGAGGGTGGGACTCAGCCCGGCAGCAGAGGGGCAGATGCAGGGCTGGGGAGGGGACTGGCACCGCTCCAGGCTGGCTCACCAGGATCATGTGTCCGGTGGAGATGTCCATGTTGGACTGGACGGGCTCCTCGCACCAGGAGGGTGTGCTGCTGTGGGAGCTGGGGCTGGGCTGTGGAGCGTCGCTGAACTGGGACGAGACACTGCTGACCCTCGAGGTCTCCGCCGGTGCCGCCGGTGCGTCAGTGCGGCCAAAGAGAGACTTGGCAGCCATGTGCTGGCGGCACAGCTCCTGGGGAGGCCGGCAAGAGCCCTGTCCCTTGGCCACCGCACCGCCATAGGGCAGCTCCATGCACCCTGAGTGATGCAGACATGTGGCAGTGACGCGTGCTGCGGGATACCACCTACCTGGTACTCGAAGGTGGTGTCAGCAGCACCCTCGGGCCCCAGGGCAGCCAGGCGCTCCTTCTCCCGCTGCTTGGCGTGGCGCCGGAGGCAGAAGGCCGCAGACACTGCGATGGCAATGACTGCCACGCAGGCCAGGGCGATGAAGGTCAGCAGCACCGAGTGGAAGCCATCCCCGAAGCGGGACGGGCGTGAGTAGGCGGCAGCCTCGTTTCGCTGGGGACAAGCCAAGTAAGGGCTAGTTAGCATGGGCTGGGGGCGCAGAGACCCTATTCTGCTGCACACTTGGGTTGCTGGGGGTTAAAACAGAACAAGGGCTCTTCCTTCCCCTTCTTGAGGGTGCTGATTCTCCCAGCACCCTCAGCTGGGGCAGAGCTGGTGTCACTGGGGTGAGGCAGAGTGCACACACCTAAGTGTCACATGGGGAACTGCTGCAGTGGTGTCCCTGGAGCTGGAGGAGCTTGGCCAAGCCCAGGTAGCAGTGACTCCCTGCTTCCAGCACTCAGGGCTGCTGCCTGAGGCAAACCCAGCCTGGACTGCCCTTCTACAAGGCAGGCAGCAGAACTCTCCCTTAGAACTCTCATTCCACGGCCTCCTTCTGCCCAACTGGAGATCAACAAGGGCTGCATTCAGCCCAAGGAGTTAATGGTGTAGAATAGGCAACTGCAGCACCGGGTGCACCACTCCCAGACCACTGCTCCACATCAGAGCACCGAGGGAGGCAGGGTGGGGAATATGCCAGCATGGCTGGTACCACCCCAGCTGTAGCAGCTAGGGGACAAGTCCTCCCTGTTGCCCTCCTCATTTAGGACACAGAGCAGCTTCTGCCTTCTTACAGGTTGTGTCTCTAGGGCTCCTTCCCTGTGATTGTGGGAGACACCCCAATCCATGCCAGTCCCATGCAGGCCTTGCTGGACAAGACCTTCCTGCCAATGCCATGACTGCCTCGGTCCTGATAGGGCAGCCCAGGGATACTGGGGCATCACCAATTCAAACATCCTGTGCCCAATGAGCTGCCAGAGCCCTGCATTACCTCATTGCCACAGCCTCCCATTGGCTATGAGCCTGATGATGTTACTGAGGGAACACTGCACCATCATCAACTACATCATCATCATCATTGCTGGGGATGTCCCCAGCCTAGGTGTCCCTGCTGCCACCTGCACCCCAGCACCTGACTGCCGTCAGCGTCCAGCCAGGGTGCAGCCAGGGCACCCACCAGGCCCAGCGCCTCCCAGCTCCCCGGGGCACCCAAGCAGGAGCTGCCCTGCAGCCCCTGGAGGTGTCAGCAGAGCCGGGGGGCACAGAAGGGATTTCTCTCCCAAGGCCTGCCCAGGCCCTGCCGTCTCCCTGCCTCCCTACACCCCTCTTCCTCAAATCTTGCACCAGTCCCACCAAGTCCAGAGCCATGAGGGAATGGAGGAAAAGCACAAGCTGGTTAGAACTTGGAAGGTCAATGCAGAAGGGAGCTTGTAAAGCTGCCTCAGCTTCCTCTGAGCTCCATCTTGGTAATCTCTGACATCTATCCCAATTCTTGCCACCTGCCTCATCAAAAGGCATTGCCATAGACACACTCTGCATTTTGCTGATAGGGACAGGTGCCTCAGTGGCCAGGCCACCTTTTCTTCATAGCCTCCTCCAAAGTTCCCCCTTCCTTCCTTCCTTCCTTCCTTCTTCCCTGCTCACAACTACAGCCACATGACAAGAAATGAGAAATGGGGACACTGGGCTGGGGATGTGCTACACCATTTTTCCTCCTCAGGCTGAAAACACAGGAACTAGGCTTGGTCCCTATCTCCAATCCCTGTTCCCTGCCCCAGGAGACTGTTCCTGTGGCTCCCCAGAGGAGCACGAGGAGGGGTAACCCCTCTCCAAACAGATGGTTCCTGTTCCATCCCTGCCTCCAGCTGCTTTGCCATTCTCTGGGGACACGATGACATTTTGCCTGCCTAGCTGTGGTTTGTAGAGTTCTCTGGGAACATCCCAGTGCTCGGGTGCTCAGGCCACAGCTGAGATGGGTGTGCAGGCTGGAGGGAGGCAAGGGTGAGGATGAGCCTTGAGGGACACAGCCTGCAGTCCCCCTGTTTTGGGGGGAAGAAAAGCCTCTGGGAATCCCTCTCAAACCACCTTCAAACACTGTGGCGCTTTGTTTTGAAAAGAGCTGAGAGCCCTGGGCAGCATCATGCTGTCAGGCAGTGGAGGGGGATGATGGACAAACAGGACTGGAGCAGTCTCCAACAGGAGTCCTCCAACACAGGACTGGAGTCTATTTCCAACACAGCATCCCAGACACTGCCCAGTTTCCTCTGCTATTCAGCTGCCCCACAGACCTTCAGGGACAGCTCACTCACAAGGCCCTTGTATCCCAAGGCTGGGGGCTCCTGGCTCCTGGCACCCCCACTCCCCTATCCCTGCCCCCCCCAGCCCCAAGGGGCGGAATCGTTGCTCACTCCTACCTCTCCCACTCCTGTTTGCACAATCTTCAGGCCCAGCTCATGCTCCAGCTCTCCCTTCACTTGCTCTGTGGACAGGGAGGAGACGGTCAGAGGAAAGCTTCCCCTCCACACAAGAGACCCCCCCCAGAAACAGAGCCAAGGGATAGCTCTGACAGCTGCTCACTTCAGCTCCTCGCCTCAGCCAAAGGCAGAGGGAT